AATTACAGAGATCATACGTTTCCTGTAGGTCTTGACCAGGTTTGCACACACTGCAGCAGGGATTTTGGCCCACTCCTCCATACAGACTTCCAGATCCTTCAGGTTTTGGGGCTGTCGCTGGGCAATACGGACTTTCAGCTCCCTCCAAAGATTTTCTATTGGGTTCAGGTCTGGAGACTGGCTAGGCCACTCCAGGACCTTGAGATGCTTCTTACAGAGCCACTCCTTAGTTGCCCTGGCTGTGTGTTTCAGGTCGTTGTCATGCTGGAAGAACCAGCCACGACCCATCTTCAATGCTCTTACTGAGGGAAGGAGGTTGTTGGCCAAGATCTCGCGATACATGGCCCCATCCATCCTCCCCTCAATACGGTGCAGTCGTCCTGTCCCCTTTGCAGAAAAGCATCCCCAAAGAATGATGTTTCCACATCCATGCTTCACGTTGGGATGGTATTCTTGGGGTTGTAATCATCCTTCTTCTTCCTCCAAACACGGCGAGTGGAGTTTAGACCAAAAAGCTCTATTTCTGTCTCATCAGACCACATGACCTTCTCCCATTCCTCCTCTGGATCATCCAGATGGTCATTGGCAAACTTCAGACGGGCCTGGACATGCGCTGGCTTGAGCAGGGGGACCTTGCGTGCGCTGCAGGATTTTAATCCATGACGGCGTAGTGTGTTACTAATGGTTTTCTTTGAGACTGTGGTCCCAGCTCTCTTCAGGTCATTGACCAGGTCCTGCCGTGTAGTTCTGGGCTGATCCCTCACCTTCCTCATGATCATTGATGCCCCACGAGGTGAGATCTTGCATGGAGCCCCAGACTGAGGGGTGATTGACCATCATCTTGAACTTCTTCCATTTTCTAATAATTGCACCAACAGTTGTTGCCTTCTCACCAAGCTGCTTGCCTATTGTCCTGTAGCCCATCCCATCTTTGTGCAGGACTACAATTTTATCCCTGATGTCCTTACACAGCTCTCTGGTCTTGGCCATTGTGGAGAGGTTGGAGTCTGTTTGATTGAGTGTGTGGACAGGTGTCTTTTATACAGGTAACGAGTTCAAACAGGTGCAGTTAATACAGGTAATGAGTGGAGAATAGGAGGGCTTCTTAAAGAAAAACGAACAGGTCTGTGAGAGCCGGAATTCTTACTGGTTGGTAGGTGATCAAATACTTATGTCATGCAATAAAATGCAAATTAATTACTTAAAAATCATACATGTGATTTTCTAGATTTTTTTTTTAGATTCCGTCTCTCACAGTTGAAGTGTACCTATGATAAAAAAATTACAGACCTCTACATGCTTTGTAAGTAGGAAAACCTGCAAAATCGGCAGTGTATCAAATACTTTCTCCCCACTGTATATAAAGTATAATATTGGGTGCAATCTCAAAATTGAATAAATGTCAACTCTATATCTTACATGGTACAGGTATTTTCTTTTTTAAAGCCCATAACCATGTGTGTGAGGTGTATACTTTTGTTTCAAAGTAGACTACCAAGAATCACTCTGTGTGACCCTGATTTAGCGAAAGGAAGGTTTTAAGTAGCCTACCCTTAACTTTAATTATTTTCAGTACGATTCATGTGTGGGAACTTACCTTATGTTATGTTATGGGGAATATTATTTGTCATTTGGAATATTTTGTTGTTTAATGGGATTAACTTTATTTGGTTCTCATAGGATGACATGAGCTATAGCTACATAAAGTCTGGGGTAAAAACTCCTCAGAGCAGACCATGGGATAGGCTACTATGATGCGTGTAGCATGTAGCAAAACCAAATTTAAGTCTATCCTCATGTTTCAAGACGGCTTATCTAAAAAATGAATGGAATTGAAGCCAACTGAAGAGCTAGGACCTATGAAGAGCTAGGACCTATGAAGAGCTAGGACCTATGAAGAGCTAGGACCTATGAAGAGCTAGGACCTATGAAGAGCTATGAACTATGTGTGTAGACATAAGCTACTGTGTGGTTGGCTGGTCAGAACTGACTGAGCAATATCGAGTAGTCTATCGGTCACGACAATCCTCCTGTTAGCTGAGCTACAGATAAGGGTTAGTTAAAAGTACCTTTGGCTGAAGGTTGGTGTTATGTCACACACTTTGTTTTCCCCCTACTGACTAAGGAGTTCCTCATAAGGAAGGTCCTGTTTCATGATGAGTGCATTGCAACCAACCGCCAGAATGTAGCACGCATTACCACTGGATTTTCTTAAAACGCTACTAACGGGAGATTACATGCACTTGCTTGTTAAACAAAACTTGCTTGCAACCAAAAACCCACAAGAATAAACTAGCAGATTAGTTGATCTCTCATTGTTGCCGTGTCAAGATTATGATATCAGACATCTGCGTTTAGGTTCTCTACTCCCGCCCCCAATGAAATATCGACCTATCAGGGGCATCGTAAACTGTAAGGCTGATGAATGTAAAAATACTTATTTGAGTATAAGAATATAGAAGTAGTAGGCCTATATTGTATTCAAAGTTTCATCTTATATGGCAAAATAATATAATATATGCCATTTAATATAAATGTATTAGCCTACATTTTTATTTGATACAAAATATAGATTATATACAGTAAATCAATCACGATTGACTTGATCTGATTACACATTTCAAAAATGGGCAGTCCAGGGATATTTTACCCCTGATCTTGATAAGAAATGACTATACCAGATACTTTTCTTTTAAAAACAGTTGTATGCAATGGATTACATTAATTGGAAACAAATCAAATAAAAGTAGGCTACATCATCATTAGTTTTCCATTCCTACAACGTGTCGGGTAAATTGCCACAGTAGATTTGCAGTGGTAAATGAAGAAATACTTTATTTCAGTTGTACGGAATGATTATCTAGATAAATTGCCCTTAGTCTGTTCAAAAAGAAGGACTAAGTTGTTCAGATGAAAATACCAACCAGAGGGCGAACATATCTTGAAAGACTTTGGTAGCAAGCAGGACTAAGGTGACACCAACATCAGCTTTTAGGGAGTGGTAATGAGGTGATCAATAAGGGTTGCAATTGAGATCAGCTGTGCGGGTGAATTTCGCGCAAATTGATGGTTTAAAGAGAGATCAGCTGGCGATCAGCTGGTGACAATCTAGTGGCCCTCGATGGTTGCAATAGGCCCCACACGTATTGTAGTAACCTTAACCCAACACTTAGCAACCTCGTCAAGAGGTTCGGACCTCTTGGCATAGCAGTTAAGGTCCCGGTCGGGGCTAACCCCCGAATTCGCTTCATTGGTGTCAGAAGTGGGATGGTGCCCGTAAGGCCATCGGAGAGGCATGTATACGTACAGAGAAGGACGGGGGTAGTCTAGCGACCTTAACCCAACACCTAGTGACCTCGTCAAGCAGTTTGGACAGACTTCTTGGCGTAACGGTTAAGATGTTGGCTTGACAGTCGATGGACCTGGGTTCAAATCCCAGTCGGGACTACCCCCCCAAATACAAGATCTGAATACAGGATCTCTTCCTTAATGTGACCATTTGCCCATTCTAATCAGCAGATTAAACACGTTGTTTGATCTCAACTGTAATTAAAAACATCTAGACATTACCTCCCCTAGCATTTGGCTGCAACAGCGGACATTTGTATAAACCTTGCTGTCCGTCTCTCCGACATTTGCAGAATTGTTTCAATATTGAAATGCGATCTCCACTGTCACATAGAGAATGAACGTGTCGGGACGAAACAGACAGCTTTTCTCAGCCAGTCGAAATTATGACTCAGCATCATTTTTATGGATATAAACAAAGAAATGTCAATAGAAAAACAGGTAAAAGGAAAGGAAATGCAGCTAGTTGGCTATCTTTCCAGCTTCAGTTTGATGTGATTGTGTTAGCTGTGTAGTTAGCTAGCTAGCAAGGGGGAAGGGCCTCCATAGCAACCATTCTCTTTGGTATAGTAACCTTCCAATCGAACGAACAACCAGTCCTCTTGGCTGGCAATGATGCCAATCGAACTAACGATCAGTCGGCTTGGCTGGCAACCTTAGACTATATCGTCATCGAAGGATAAAATAGTATGAATAAATTCATCAAAATAACATTTTGAATGAAAATATGTCAGTCATAATTTGAATATGTTAGTAAACATTGTATAAAAGTGATAATGCCCTGGAAGCCATGGTTTGGAGGATATATTGTCACCGTTTGTAGGCCTAACAACACCAGTGCACACGGGAAACTTTTTCCACGAAAATGAGTTTCTTATTGGACAAATCCAGGTAGGTCCCTCCCGGTTTCAACCCGTTTTCTTCCATCTGGTTCCTAGTGAATACACCCCACGGCTGGGGTAAAGGTGGTTCCTGGTGAATACACCCCAGGGCTGAGGTAAAGGTGGTTCCTGGTTAATACACCCCAGGGCTGGGGCAAAGGTGAAAAGGTGGGACACAATTTGGACCGGGAGCACTCAGGTTACCAGGCTATTTAATCGGTGGTAAAGAAAAACCTATAATTTACATCCTTCTGTAATTTGTTTTACTTCCGCCCCACCTCTCCTGCTCCTCCCTCTCTCTGGGCTTGTTTGAGTGGTAAGGCTCAAGCAACCGACTGTAAATGAAAGTGGAGGATTGTAGTTGGTGGAGGTGCATCTGTGACAGTTGAAAGGCTACATGCATGCAGCAAAGTTGGTTCCTGTTTCAGTCATGTCTTTGGTCATGTTCGCATGGGTCAAACAAAAATACCCCAATGATTGGTTGACAATAGACCCTCCGACAATGCAGGCGATGGCTGCAGGATGAAGCTGTTGAAGAGCAACTGCAGAAACTTGTAGTGGACTGCAGTCAAAACTTCATGACCTATGATCACATGATTTTTGTAAAGTTCATGCAGTCGACATGTAGGCACAAGTTGGACAATTTATTTCTCCATAAAGCAAACACCTTGAAAGGCAGTGACCATTGACTTGAAAAAAAAGTGTTCACTCGAACGCGCCCCATATCTCTAAAGAATCGCCCTTTAACCCTCAAACTTTAAAAGGGTGACAGAGGAAGTGAGAGAATTACAGGTCGGTGAGAGCCTACTGTCAGAGCCAAAAGCGCAACGGAGCGGGGAGACGATGTGGTACTTTCCTTCCTTCTCCACAGAGACATGGACTCTGATAGCGATACTATTTGCTCTCTTTATGTGGTAAGTTCCTTTGTTAGGAAAGGTTAATAATCATGCTTTCTGTCCTAACCTGCTGTTGAGAAAAGGAAGGAAAGTTGGATATGGTTAATGTCCTTAATATAGCTACAGTAATAGTAGAATAATAGTGTTTCTCAGTATTCTTCCCAAACAAATGTTATTGGGCCCACACATATCTTTATTCTAATTGTACAGCCTTCGTATTGGTAAAAAAAAAGATGGACCGTCTCTTGTTGTCAAATTGGCTGGGGCCAGCTAATCTCTTGTTGTCAATTCAACAACGGGCCAGTTAATTTAACAACAAGAGATGGTTCGTTGCTGAATTGTTACATGTAGTAGGGGAGAGTGAGGACGGTTGTAACACTTTTAGCATTTTAGTCAATTTCTCAGAGATCGTTTGAGCTACTACATTCAAAATGTGATAGGAACAACTTCAAATCAAATCAAATGTTATTTGTCACATGCGCCGAATACAACAGGTGTAGACCTTACAGTGAAATGCTTACTTACAGCCCTTAACCAACAATGCAGTTTTAAGGAAGAATACCAAAAAAAATTACAAAAAAAATACAATATCAAATAATACGAAATAAAAGTAACAAATAATTAAAGAGCAGCAGTAGAAATAATAATAGCGAGGCTATATACAGGGGGTACCGGTACCGAGTCAATGTGCAGGGGCACTGGTTAGTCGAGGTAATTGAGGTAATATGTACATGTAGGTAGAGTTATTAAATTGACTATGCATAGATAATAAACAGAGAGTAGCAGCAGCGTAAAAGGGGGGGGGGGGGGGGGGGGGGGGTACCGCTTGCCGTGCGGTAGCAGAGAGAACAGTCTATGACTAGGGTGGCTGGAGTCTTTGACAATTTTTAGGGCCTTCCTCAGACACCGCCTAGTATAGAGGTCCTGGATGGCAGGAAGTTTGGCCCCAGTGATGTACTGGGCCGTACGGACAACCCTCTGTAGTGCCTTGCGGTCGGAGGCCGAGCAGTTGCCATACCAGGCGGTGATGCAACCAGTCAGGATGCTCTCGATGGTGCAGCTGTAGAACCTTTTGAGGATCTGAGGACCCATGCCAAATGTTTTCAGTCTCCTTAGGGGGAATAGGTTTTGTCGTGCCCTCTTCACGACTGCGTTGGTGTGCTTGGACCATGTTAGTTTGTTGGTGATGTGGACACCAAGGAACTTGAAGCTCTCAACCTGCTCCACTACAGCCCCGTCGATGAGAATGGGGGCGTGCTCGGTCCTCTTCTTTTTCCTGTGGTCCACAATCATCTCCTTTGTCTTGATCACATTGAGGGAGAGGTTGTTGTCCTGGCTCCACACGGCCAGGTCTCTGACCTCCTCCCTATAGGCTGTCTCGTCCGTGATCAGGCCTACCACTGTTGTGTCATCGGCAAACTCATGATGGTGTTGGAGTCGTGCCTGGCCATGCAGTCATGAGTGAACAGGGACTACAGCAGGGGACTGAGCAGGCACCCCTGAGGGGCCCCCTTGTTGAGGATCAGCTTGGCGGATGTGTTGTTACCTACCCTTACCCCCTGGGGGCGGCCCGTCAGGAAGTCCAGGATCCATTTGCAGAGTGAGGTGTTTAGTCCCAGGGTCCTTAGCTTAGTGATGAGCTTTGAGGGCACTATGGTGTTGAATGCTGAGCTGTAGTCAATTAATAGCATTCTCACATAGGTGTTCCTTTTGTCCAGGTGTGAAAGGGCAGTGTGGAGCGCAATAGAGATTGCATCATCTGTGGATCTGTTGGGGCGGTATGAAATTGGAGTGGGTCTAGGGTTTCTGGGATAATGGTGTTGATGTGAGCCATGACCAGCCTTTCAAAGCACTTCATGGCTACAGACGTGAGTGCTACGGGTTGGTAGTCATTTAGGCAGGTTACCTTAGTGTTCTTGGGCACAGGGACTATGGTGGTCTGCTTGAAACATGTTGGTATTACAGACTCAGACAGGGAGAGGTTGAATATGTCAGTGAAGATACTTGCCAGTTGGTCAGCGCATGCTCGGAGTACACGTCCTGGTAATCCATCTGGCCCTGCGGCCATGTGAATGTTGACCTGTTTAAAGGTCTTACTCACATCGGCTACGGAGAGCGTGATCACACAGTCGTCCGGAACAGCTGATGCTCTCATGCATGTTTCAGTGTTACTTGCCTCGAAGCGAGCATAGAAGTATTTTAGCTCGTCTGGTAGGCTTGCGTCACTGGGAAAGCTCGCGGCTGTGCTTCCCTTTGTAGTCTGTAATAGTTTGCAAGCCCTGCCACATCCAACGAGCGTTGGAGCCGGTGTAGTACGATTTGATCTTAGTCCTGTATTGACGCTTTGCCTGTTTGATGGTTCGTTGGAGGGCATAGCAGGATTTCTTATAAGCTTCCGGGTTAGTGTTCCGCTCCTTGAAAGCGGCAGCTCTACCCTTTAGCTTAGTGCGGATGTTGCCTGTAATCCATGGCTTCTGGTTGGGGTATGTACGTACAGTCTTCCTTCTGTCTGTCTGCTACACATTGGTATTATCTATCTAAATCAAACACACAAGGTGGATTATCTTTTATTATTTACCCCACCTCCTGGGTCAGTTGTAACAGGGCTTGGGGTGAAATGTAACCGTTTGAAATTAAATATTGAATGCATTTATTGAGAACATGAGAACAACATTGCCATGTTCAACATTTTGTGAAGCAGAAATAACAAAATAATAATACAAATCATAAAATGTTTATTCTTTTTGACACTCCGTTAACTGGCCCTTCTCAACTAAACAACAACATCTGAAGGTTTGTGGTGTGTGTTTGTGAGTGAATGTTAGACGTGTTCACTCAATCAGAGTCACAGTTGTGACAGTAGTATGGTAGTCCTGGGGTACAGGTTTGGTGGGCCCATCATTTGCATTCCCAGCAGTGCACCCAGACCTCCTTAGGCCAGTGGCGTATATTCATGGATGCCAAGGGAAGACAGACTTCCCAAACAAATTGTCCAAGAAAAAATGAAAAAAACACAATTCTCTGTGATTCATAATTTTCCTTTAATTCGCAAGATGCTGACTGTACCGGAGAAAGCATCTGAGCCAGCGAACCAGCGGCCCTCTGTATGTGTAGCCCATCTATCTGAGGCTGTCTGGTCAAAAATAGTATGATATTGTTGCCGCCCGTAGCATTGATTGCAAGGGAAGCCAGCAAGTATTTGGCCTCCCTTGATACATGTTTTTTATAAAATAATAGCCAATCAGCATTGTGCTAAACTGAGTGAGCTCAACTGTGAATGGTGTGAAAAAAAAAAAAAGTGTCGAGGGAAAGTAGTTTGGATTTGGCTTCACACCAATCACATCACAACAAAAGACAAAGGTCATTGAATTGATGCATCTCGTTGTGTTGTTGTCCTCCAGTAGCTAGCTAGCTAAATTTGGCCCTTTCCTAAATTAGCCATGGATGGAGAAAGGGATTTGGACTTGTGGTTTTACTTAATTCTCCGTAGAGGCCAATGATTATAACAGCGATTCTGATCCAACCATAAATTCATACATTGTGCCCCTGGCCTGAGAGGATGTAAGTTCAACGTGTAGCTAGATGTAGTAGGCTAATGATAACTAGCTGGCTCATCATTGCCCATGAAAGGAAGTTAGGCTAGAGAGCAAGCATTTTAGCCAGGACAACAAAAACAAAAAGCGTGTAGCCTACAGTATGACAGAGTCATAGACCGTTTCAGCGACATGAAAGAGAGGAGGATGGCATTGGCGTTTCTCTACAAGTAGGGTGAGTCAACATGTTTTTTCTACTTGCACGAACGCGCACACACACACACAGAAATCAGTAGCATGGACAGCCACATCATATTTAGCTTAGGTTGATTGGACTAAATTGTTTTTGGTATCTTTTAGTTGTCACTGTATTAGACTAAGCATAGGTGATTTGATGATGTTGAAGTTGAAATGTTGCTGGAATAGTGGAGGTAGCTCCTGTTTTGTTTGCGACTTGCGGTAACTCTCCATGGTTCTAAATCAATAGTTGTTTAGTAGTCTGAACATTTCAGAAACATCAACTTGCTTGACCATGCTGTAGGTCATTGCAATACTGTTTGTTACATGCAATATGTTTTGTGGACTTCAACGAACAGATGTTGCTCTCCGGTTTTGTGATGAAACAAAGGTGTGGTTGAATTTGTTCTGCCACTGTGTCTTCTTATTGTCTCGGTCTTTAGGACTATATATCACTGTGTCAAGGCATATGAACTAACAGGTTATAGAGGAAACAACACAATTATCACAACACATAGGTTGTAATATGGCTTTTTTATCTGGCTTTGCTTCCCCAGTGATTTTACCCACAAACCGCTACTGGTTACAATTATCCTGTGTTACAACAATCTCAAGTCACCCCTAACTTTAAGTTGAAAACATCACACAGTAGTAACTATGCAATAAAGTAAAGTCTCTACATGTTCCATTACAACGTATAGACTACTACAGACCCTAGCCTGATAAGAACGGCGTAAAAGTAAACATGCCCGGTCGATCATTTTGATTGTGCAGTAAGCTATGCACCTAAATACATTATATGTAAACAATACATAGCCAACAAGTATCTCAAGTAATGTATTTTGTATTGTATACTGTGTCTTGAGTGTGTCATCTGTACTTTAACTACTGTGATTTGAAATATTACTGCATTATGTATTATTACATGGACCAAATGAGAAGGACTGCCCCCTCTCCTTGAGGCCGACCAGGGTACTGCAGTCAATGTTTTCAGAAAGTAGGATCCCCCATTATAGTCAATGGGAGTATGGCGATATTCATGGTCGATATTCGTGGATATGAAAACAATTCTGAACACAATCATGGTACCCATACTTGCTTCAATTTCAGATGAAAGTCCTTGAACTGCTTATTTTTAAATCGCACTCAGAAGAAGTTATAAGGATAATTTAGTGGCTACCGGCAGCCTACAGTAGCCCGGTCGGCCATCAACTTGAGATACTCAATGAGAGGGGACAGCACTGAGCTAGCCTGCAACGTCACTTCCTAGAGTAGCTCAAATTGTGCATGCGATGTTTCCAAAAACTCCTCCATGAAGTAAGATGGCGACATGCTAAAAGGAAGCAGTAGTCTATGTTCCCCTCACTGAATATTTCTCTCAAACCTTACAAAAAGGTATGGATATGCACCTTATGGATTCTTCAAGAAACTCGGCATCCAGGGACCTAAACCACTCCCCTTCATAGGGACGTTTTTAGAGTACAAAAGGGTGAGATTAATACTACATTAATACTACTACTTCTACTGGTGTGTATGTAGTGTGTTGCTCAAACTCTCTGGGTGTCCATATAGTGTTAACATGAGGACCATTAGGACTCAAGCTGAACTCCCCTCTCCCTCCTTTTACAGGGTATCTTCATATTTGACAAAGAGTGTTACCAGAAGTACGGCGATGTGTGGGGGTAAGCGTGTGCGTGTGTGTGTTTGTGCCTGCGTGTGAACGCGTATGCATGTGTACAAATATAGGGGAACTATATTTTCACTGTTCTGGTGAACTATTTGTAATTCTGGTTCTTTTAGTAATTCTTAGTATTTAGTAGTTATTTTAGTATTTTGTCATTCTTGTGTGTTCTTTTAGGTTCTTTGATGGCAGACTGCCCGTAATGGGTGTGATGGACACAGCCATGATCAAAACCATCCTGGTGAAGGAATGTTACTCAGTGTTTACCAACAGACGGGTAAGCAGAAATACACAAACAACCCTAACCTCTCTAACCTTCAATCCTAATCCTAACCCCTCTAATGTGTCTGTGTCTGTGTCTAGTTTGGATTTATCAGAAGTCCTCACAAGAATAGTTAAACAAGGAACATTTGACATTTCGCCGGTCCCCACAAGGAAAAAGGCTTTTTTAGGCTTAGGGGTTAGTTTTAGGGTTAGGGGTTAGGGTTAGTTTTAGAGTTAGGGTTAGGGTTTTGGGCTGAAGGTTAGGGTTAAGGTTAGGTTAAGAGTTAGGGTTAGGGAAAATAGGATGTGTGTGTGTGGGAATCAATTGTTTGAATGGGAATCAATTGTTTGGTCCCCACAAGGATAGTAAAACAAACGTTTGTGTGGTCAGGACTTCGGGCTGAACGGGGAGCTGCACGACGCTGTAACGATCGTAGAAGACGATGAGTGGAAGAGAATCCGCAGCACTCTGTCTCCCTCCTTCACCAGTGGACGACTCAAAGATGTAAAGACACACACACACACACACACACACACACATAAATGTACACACACAGCACTATTGCACCATTATATTGCGTAAAGTAAAACATTCCACCTTCCTAAGCCTGCGTGGTGAAGTAACTGAGTGGTTGTGGAGCCTCTACACAACAGGCGGACAGAGGGCCAGATCCGGACCCAGAACGGGGTCAATACAGACCGCGGGTCCTGACTAAAAAGAAAAAGAAAAGGTTTATTTTATTTGGAAACCCCTGGTATCATATGAACACACATACTCCAATGTAAAATGTATAGAATTGAAATTTGATTTTTCTCTTTCCGCCAACAAGATGGGTTTGAACAGTTTAGGATCGCATTGCGAGGTGGGGTTTTATTATTACGCCGATAAATGACAAGATCCTTTCGGACCTTTGACACCTTTGAAATTTGTGTGACCGGATCTTCTCAAATAGTACTTCAGTACCCCTGCTCTACGGAGTACGCATGGTGGAGTATACATCCAGCCTCATTGAGAACTGTTGACTTCAGCTCCCTATATCCTGAGAAAAGATGGACTTCAGATGCCAGTAGGCAGAACAAATGTGAGAATACAAGTCTGGTTAAGCAAGACTATATGTATCTTTTTTTGGACAGATGTTCAAGATAATGACTCAACACTCAAGAAACCTGGTGAAGTTTCTGCAGAAGAAGGTAGACTCTGACGAAGTCCTGGAAGTTAAAGAGTGAGTTGGGTAATGCATCGTTTTTCAGAGTGAGTATGGGTAATGTAGTGTTTTTCAGAGTGAGTATGGGTAATGTAGTTTGTTAAAGAGCGAATGAGGCAGTAACATTACATCTTTCTCATCCATTTTATTGTGTGTGTGTGTGTTTCCCAGAATCTTTGGGGCCTACAGTATGGACGTGGTGGCAAGTAGCGCGTTCAGTGTTGACATTGATTCTATCAACCAACCCAATGATCCCGTAATTACCAACGTAAAGGAACTTCTCAAATTCAACCTGTTAAATCCTCTACTAATCTTAATAGGTAAGTCTGTGTGTGTCTGTGTGTGTGTGTGTGTGTGTGTGAACATAGTGTAGCCCCTACACAGTATTCACACCACTTTACTTTTTCCACATTTTGTTACATTACAGCCTTATTCTAAAATAGATTAAATAACACATTTTCCTCATCAATCTACACACAATACCCCATAATGACAAAGTGAAAACAGGTTTTCAAATTTTGCAAATGTATTAAAAATAAAAACAAGAAAATACCTTATTTACATAAGTATTCAGACCCTTTGCTATGAAACTCGAAATTGAGCTCAGGTGCATCCTGTTTCCATTGATCATCCTTGAGATGTTTATGCAACTTGATTGGAGTCCACCTGTGGTAAATTCAATTGACTGGACATGATTTGGAAAGGCACACACCTGTCTATATAAGGTCCCACAGTTGACAGTGCATGTCAGAGAAAAAACCAAGCCATGAGGTCGAAGGAATTGTCTGTAGAGCTCCGAGACAGGAGTGTGTCGAGGCACAGATCTAGGGAAGGGTACCAAAAAATGTCTGCAGCATTGAAGGTCCCCAAGAACACAGTGGCCTCCATCATTCTTAATGGAAGAAGTTTGGAACCACCAAGACTCTTCCTAGAGCTGGCTGCCCGGCCAAACTGAGCAATCGTGGGAGAAGGGCCTTGGTCAGGGAGGTGACCAAGAACCTGATGGTCACTCTGACAGAGCTCCTCTGTAGAGATGGGAGAACCTTACAGAAGGACAACCATCTCTGTAGCACTCCACCAATCAGGCATTTATGGTAAAGTGGCCAGACGGAAGCCACTCCTCAGTAAAAGGCAAATGACAGCCCGCAAGGCACCTAAAGGACTCTCAGACCATGAGAAAAAAATATTCTCTAGTCTGATGAAACCAAGATTTAACTATTTTTTTTGAATGCCAAGCGTCACGTCCGGAGGTAACCTGGCACCATCCCTACGGTGAAGTATGGTGGTGGCAGCATCATGCTGTGGGGATGTTTTTCAGCGGCAGGGACTGTGAGATTAGTCAGGATCGAATGTAAGATGAACAGAGCAAAGTACAGAGAGATCCTTGATGAAAACCTGCTCCAGAGCGCTAAGGACCAAGGTTCACCTTCCAACAGGACAACGACCCTAAGCACACAGCCAAGACAACGCAGGAGTGGCTTCGGGACAAGTCTCTGAATGTCCTTGAGTGGCCCAGCCAGAGCCCGGACTTGAACCCGATCCAACATCTCTGGAGAGGAGAGGATCTGCAGAGAAGAATGGGAGAAACTCCCCAAATACAGGTGTGCCAAGCTTGTAGCGTCATACCCAAGAAGACTCAAGGCTGTAATCGCTCTCAAAGGTGCTTCAACAAAGTACTGCGTAAAGGGTCTGAATACTTATGTAAATGTCATATTTCAGTAGTTTTTTTTGTAATACATTTTCAAAAAATCTGTTTTTGCTTTGTCATTATGGGGTATTGTTCGTAGATTGATGAGGGGGAAAAACAATTTAATCAATTTTAGAATAAGGCTGTAATGTAACAAAATGTGGAAAAAGTAAAGGGGTCTGAATACTTCCCGAATGAACTGTATCTCTCTGATGTAGCCAAACAGGAATGATGTGTCTTGTTATACAATGTATTTTTCATTTTAACGTACAGTGTAAAATTGACTCTCTTTTTAAAATATTCTCCTCTCTTGTCTCTTCTTGTTTTCTCTCCTTTCTTCTCCTCTCCTCTTCTGTTCTTTCTCTCCTTCTCTCACTCCAGTGTTGTTCCCGTTTATGCGTCCGCTCCTGGAAAAGTGCAACGTCTCTTTCCTACCTGCCGGTGTTATGGAATTCTTCTATTCCTTCCTGAGGAAGATCAAAGCAGAGAGGAGCAAGAATGTGCACAATGTGAGATAGAACCCTTAACCCCCTAGCCTAAATCTAACCTCCACCCCAACCATACCCCAGTCAGTACTAGGCCTAAACCCCAAATCCCATCCTCAACCCTGAACCACACTGAAGTGGCATCATGATGTGGTCCTCTGTAGCTCAGCTGGTAGAGCACGGCGCTTGTAACGCCAAGGTAGTGGGTTCGATCCCCGGGACCACCCATACACAAAAATGTATGCACGCACGACTGTAAGTCGCTTTGGATAAAAGCGTCTGCTAAATGGCATATTATTATTATTATGATGACTGATAGGTGTGGTGTTTGGTTTGGCCCTGCAGACCAGAGTGGACTTAATGCAGCTGATGGTGGACTCTCAGATCCCACAGGACCACGGCTCCAAGGAGTCCGCACACAAAGGTAAGTAACTCAAAATCATGGACAGGGCTGACAAAGGTTGTGTTGTGGATGTGTTTCTCTCTGAGCGGTTCTGTTGTGTTTCAGGGCTGACGGACCACGAGATCCTGTCCCAGGCGCTGACATACATCTTTGCGGGCTATGAGACCAGCAGCAGCACGCTGGGTTTCCTATCCTATAACCTGGCAACCAACCCTGATGTCCAGGCTACCCTGCAGGACGAGATCGACCAGACCTTCCCCGACAAGGTGTCCTCACACTGAGCTGATCTAGATGGCTATATCTACTCCGACTCTTCTTTTATTGTCTGTCTCTTCTCTCTCTCTCCGGACCAATATGGCTGCCATTTTCACCCCATTCTGAAACTTTGAGGGTTTATGACATAGCCCCTCTAGTAATTAAATAAGATCACTATGGCCAATGGTCACTCACGTGTTTCCCATGAAGGGTAATGGAGTTTTGCCTGTCTCCCTGCAGGCTCCCCCCACCTATGAAGGGCTGATGCAGATGGAGTATCTGGACATGGTCATCAACGAGTCCTTGCGGGTGTATCCCATCAGCAGCCGCCTCGAGAGAGTTGCCAAGGCTACCGTGGAGGTGAATGGTGTGACCATCCCCAAGGGAACCGTTGTCATGGTTCCAGTCATGACCCTTCACCACCACCCGACACACTGGCCCGAACCTGACGTCTTCCGACCAGAGAGGTACGGTACATACAGACAGGTCCAAAATTATTGGCACCCTTGATAAAGATGAGCAAAAAAATAATAATACACATACTACATTGTATGCTAACAGGTAATAAATAAATAAACATTTAAGAGGGGTCAAAATTATTGCCACCCCTGTTTTTAATACTCCAGCACCCTCCCCTTGTGAGGATAATGAGCCTTTTTCTAACATGTTTTATAAGATTGGAGAACACATTGGGAGGGAATTTCCTCCATACTGAATTCTTCCATATCCTTAATTCCTTCTTCTGTGCTTATGGACTGCCCTCTTCAATTCAAACCACAGGTTTTCAATGGGGTTGAAGTCCGGAGACTGAGATGGACATTGCAACATGTAGATTTTGTGCTCAATTTACAATTTCTTTGTGTATTTTGATATGTGCTTGGGGTTATCATCTTAATGGAAGATTCGGACAAGTTTCGGTCTCCTGGCAGAGGCAACCAGGTTTTTGGCTAAAATGGGCCTGGTCTCCCAAAAGCATCTTAAGGCTTGTAGGCTACTGTCTGTAATTTGTCTCAATATATTTAATGATGTGTAGCCTAACATGCACGCAATCATGTGCGAAATCTGTGATTTGTTAGGTAAGCATTAGAATAAGCCGTCTCAATATTTGCAGCCGTAGGTGGTAATATCTCTCTAGGAGCTGATCTGTCGTCAGCATGGTAAAATAATTATAATGTTAAGGCTATGATTTCAATGTAGAAAGCTGATCCGAGAGCAGCGCTCCCTTTCTTTCTTTCGATCCTATCAGTATCTAAACATGCTCCAACGGCGCACTTAGCGAACGTTCTCTCTGAGTGGTGTTTTGGGAAACGCATGTTACATCTTCGGCCGTTGTAGGAAAGATTCATCGTTAAAAAACTTGTAAGCTTATAAGTTCCATCACTATCGGGAAACTGGGCCCTGGTACATGGTAAAGTTCATGATGCCATTGACCTTAACATGACCAGTGGAAGCATAATAGCCCCATAACATCAAAGATCCACCACCATATTTTACAGGTATGAGGTTATTTTCTGCATATGCATCCGTTTTTCGACGCCAAACCCACCACTGGTATAAAGATTTTTATAACTAACCCTAAGATAGACCACAGCCTGTCGTTTCAAAAGGGAGCAAATTAATCATAGTGGGCAGAAAAAGCAAGGAGGTGGGCTGAGCCAAGTACGAGCTAGCAAGATCCTATTGGCGCGTTCTAGCATTTATTTGCAAATTTCCATTAGGGAACATCTACTCTGTGAAGTGCAATAACTAAATAACTTTCACTCTGTCTAAACAATGCAACTTTGGCAAAGGGTAAAGTCTAGTTATAGAGTCTGTAGAGTTACTGACCACTACTCTAGTTATAGAGGCTGTAGAGTTACTGACCACTACTCTAGTTATAGAGGCTGTAGAGTTACTGACCACTACTCTAGTTATAGAGGCTGTAGAGTTACTGACCACTACTCTAGTTATAGAGGCTGTAGAGTTACTGACCACTACTCTAGTTATAGAGGCTGTAGAGTTACTGACCACTACTCTAGTTATAGAGGCTGTAGAGTTACTGACCACTACTCTAGTTATAGAGGCTGTAGAGTTACTGACCACTACTCTAGTTATAGAGGCTGTAGAGTTACTGACCACTACTCTAGTTATAGAGGCTGTAGAGTTACTGACCACTAGTTATAGAGTCTGTAGAGTTACTGACCACTACTCTAGTTATAGAGGCTGTAGAGTTACTGACCACTACACTAGTTATAGAGGCTGTAGAGTTACTGACCACTAGTTATAGAGGCTGTAGAGTTACTGACCAATACTCTAGTTATAGAGGCTGTAGAGTTACTGACCACTACTCTAGTTATAGAGGCTGTAGAGTTACTGACCACTACTCTAGTTATAGAGGCTGTAGAGTTACTGACCACTACTCTAGTTATAGGCTGTAGAGTTACTGACCACTACTCTAGTTATAGAGGCTGTAGAGTTACTGACCACTACTCTAGTTATAGAGGCTGTAGAGTTACTGACCACTAGTTATAGAGGCTGTAGAGTTACTGACCACTAGTTATAGAGGCTGTAGAGTTACTGACCACTACTCTAGTTATAGGCTGTAGAGTTACTGACCACTACTCTAGTTATAGAGGCTGTAGAGTTACTGACCACTACTCTAGTTATAGAGGCTGTAGAGTTACTGACCACTAGTTATAGAGGCTGTAGAGTTACTGACCACTAGTTATAGAGGCTGTAGAGTTACTGACCACTAGTTATAGAGGCTGTAGAGTTACTGACCACTACTCTAGTTATAGAGGCTGTAGAGTTACTGACCACTACACTAGTTATAGAGGCTGTAGAGTTACTGACCACTAGTTATAGAGGCTGTAGAGTTACTGACCACTACTCTAGTTATAGAGGCTGTAGAGTTACTGACCACTACTCTAGTTATAGAGGCTGTAGAGTTACTGACCACTACTCTAGTTATAGAGGCTGTAGAGTTACTGACCACTACTCTAGTTATAGAGGCTGTAGAGTTACTGACCACTACTCTAGTTATAGAGGCTGTAGAGTTACTGACCACTACTCTAGTTATAGGCTGTAGAGTTACTGACCAATACTCTAGTTATAGAGGCTGTAGAGTTACTGACCACTAGTTATAGAGGCTGTAGAGTTACTGACCACTACTCTAGTTATAGGCTGTAGAGTTACTGACCACTACTCTAGTTATAGAGGCTGTAGAGTTACTGACCACTACTCTAGTTATAGAGGCTGTAGAGTTACTGACCACTACTCTAGTTATAGAGGCTGTAGAGTTACTGACCACTACTGTTATAGAGGCTGTAGAGTTACTGACCACTACTCTAGTTATAGAGGCTGTAGAGTTACTGACCACTACTCTAGTTATAGAGGCTGTAGAGTTACTGACCAATACTCTAGTTAAATATTCTGTAGCCTTGCTGAACACTTCTTTAGTGTGGGACACAGTGCTGAATGCTACTTTGATCTGAACACTCCTCTGTCCTCAGGTTCAGTAAGGAAAACAGAGAGAACATTGATCCCTACACCTACCTTCCATTTGGGATTGGGCCAAGGAACTGTATCGGCATGCGATTCGCCCTCCAGGCCATTAAGTTGGTGATAGTAGAGATCCTCCAGAGCTTCATCTTTGTCCCCTGCAAGGAGACAGAGGTGAGATTACTGATCGTCTCAATGGGATCATTGGTGTGCATGAGTCCGTACGTACAGTGAATGTGTGTGTTTGAATATGTTGGTGGTGAATGTTGGCTTGTGATGGCATATCTTTGTCTTGTTGACTGTAGTAGCTGTTTGGATGAGTTTAGGTTCTGAAAACAATGAAATTGTAACTGACCATATTGTTCTGAGCTTCCTGAATGTTTCATCAAGTCATTTGTATCCATGTTGAACTAAGCAATGGGGCTTTTATTCCCAGCACCATGTGGAGAGACTGTGGTGCTGTAGTCATATTGGTATTCATATTGACTTCCTGGATGTGTCCTCAGGTTCCTCTGGAGCTGTTTGACAACGGCTTCATCGCCCCAAAGAAGCCCATCAAGCTGAAGCTGGTCCCCCGTGCTGAGGCCCCCAGCCAGGACTGAGAGGAGAGGAGAGGAGAGGAGAGGAGAGGAGAGGAGAGGAGAGGAGAGGAGAGGAGAGGAGAGGAGAGGAGAGGAGAGGAGAGGAGAGGAGAGGAGAGGAGAGGAGAGGAGAGGAGAGGAGAGGAGAGGAGAGGAGAGGAGAGGAGAGGAGAGGAGAGGAGAGGAGAGGAGAGGCACAGGCCTAAAGGACTTTACCCTGTTAACCTAGCTCAGCCAGATTCTTCCTCTGTCAAACATGGTTGGCATGGCAATGAGTAAGGAGTTGTCTAAAGGGCAAGGCAACCTGCCTGTTGGAAGGGATCAGTTTAGACTCATTGACATTCCAGGCTTATCCTCTGGAATTAGGAAAATGATTGCTTTATAGTGAAGAAACTACCCAACTAGCTATATTACTAAAATAGTGACTATATGTAGGCTTTTTGTATCATATTCTCAGGAACTCCTTGAAATTAAGATGACTCATCTCAAGGGTCATGCAATAAGTATAAAGTGAATACAATATGGACAATCGTAGTAATCATGTGTCCCTTCATTTGTTTTGTAAAATAAAGTCTGTTCAGGCATTGAACAACCACAGATCACTAACTAACTTACCTGCAAGAGACTGCTGCAACACAATGTACAACCAATATAATATATGACCATGAATTATCTAATGCTATTACTGATGTAAGATAGTATCCCTCATATAACCCTCTTATAAAACTCACTTGCCATGACCATCAACCCCTTCTGTATTTTATGCTTTGCAATAGAATTCCTGAGACTGTCACCTCCTCTGTCTGTGCTGTATGGTGTTTAGGAATGTGTTATGTAATGATTTCATCTGTAGTGTAATTCTAACAGTAATACTGCTGGACTGAAGTAAACGTTTTCTACTGGATAGACAAGCTGTTTGAGTTGAAGCTGTTCTGTTCCCCAGTCACCTGTACGTCACCTGTACGTCACCTGTTGGCCAGTTGTGTGTAGCCCTGTTAACCTTTTAATATCTAGAAGAAGAAAAATCGCAATCTACCAACATGAACGTCTCTAGCCGCAACCTACCTAACACAGACACCTACTGGTCACTGCCCAGCCTGCTATCTCATCATTATAATGATCATAACAGACTAGGAGTGTGTGCATATAGTATTTATCTAGGCTGTACAGAATGTAGGCAACAGTGCTGATAGTCTAGCTGTACAGATGGTGGACTACATTGTTGATAGTCTGTCTGTACAGAGGGTGGACTACAGTGTTGATAGTCTGTCTGTACAGAGGGTTGACTGCATTGTTGATAGTCTGTCTGTACAGAGGGTGGACTACATTGTTGATCATTTGCACACAGTGTTGGCTTAACCACACTGTTGTTTGTGTGTATAGAGGGTAAGCTACATTGCAGTAGGTACAAAGGTTTTCTTGCGGGACGTCCGGTGTGTCTCACTGAAAATGAACCCATGGGGTTTTTGTGTTTATCAACTTCGGTCTGGTTTTTGCCAGTCAGGTTTCAAACTCCCACAGTGACTCAGAAGTCTGAGACACACACATACACACCCTGTATAGGCAATATTCCAGTTTCAGATTGCTAAGAAACAATGTCTCTCTTCGCTTTCACACACGACATAAGGTGTTTCTTGAATTGTGGTGGCATTTGGGCATGGCATAAAAAAATATATTAAACATATTTTTTATTTAATTTAAATTTATTTGGGTACATCTTCCTATTCTAAATGAACTAATATGGCAGATTAATGACTTTAAATAATTTGTACCATTATGATAACATTGTGCCACTGGTAGGAGTAGTAACACCAATGATGGTAACACCAATAACACCTTTTTGGGTAATTGAGGATTTTCTTAAATGGAGACCAGATGATAAAATCTAAGGTCATTAAAACCCTTTAACCCTTCCCTGATCACAATGTAATTTACCTTCATTTAAATTGAATAACACCAATGACACTTTTTTATTTAGACACACCAAATGATCAATGGAATCTTCAAATTGCGTGTCTTTCACTGAAAATAAACCCAATGGGATATTCTATTTATCAACTTGACCTCTGGTCAGGTAGTTGATCAGGACTAATCTCTCTCTTTCAGAGGCAACCCAACCAGCCAGTCAGGTTTCACCTGTTTTGAGCCCCACCTGTAACAAAAAAAAAAGAGAATAAAATTAATGTGTTGTTGTTGCCTGTTTTGCATGTTATTTTCACATTTCAGTTTGCAAACAATGTAAAAAAATAAAAAAATTGTCTATTTTTTGCTTTCTTGGGTAAGGCAGCTCCAAAATGCAGGTGTTTCAGCCTAGCTCAGTGCTTTCTGTGGTGGTTGGGCAGCCAGCGGAAAATACAGAGGGTAGGGGTTGGTAATGTTCTCTAGTTGCGCCGTGATTGGCTCAGTGTTCTGTCACCACAAAATATACGGGGAGAGCTCGAAAATTCAAGCCCCTTGGGTGCTGCCAATGAACTGTTTCGCTGTCAGACAAGGCTCCGCTGATAGCCAGGTGTAGCAGTGGTAAGGATTCACTCCATGGTGCTGAAAAGAAAGCTCTGCTGTTGGGACAGCTTTATGTAGGCCCTAACAGTTTGTGGGCACCGTTTGTCACCGTTATAGTGCAATTAATGTATTGTTTAGTGGCTTTGCTGGCATGCATCTAAAAAATAAATGGTTGAGTTTCCCAACCATGATTTACATGCTAAAATAGCCACTGCACACACACACACAAACACACACCCACTGGGTATAGGCAATATTCCAGTCTCAGATTGCTAAGAAACAATGTCTTGCTTCCCTTTCATACAGGACAGAAGGTAGAGTGTTCCTCTGGGCTTCTGGCACATTGTCCGAGGGGCATGTCTCCTATCTCAATGTCCGCTCCAGTGAGATCCATCCAGGAGTGGCTGATCCGGTGCATTTCCCAGCCAGACGTTACGAAGGCAGTAGAGAGAAAGCGGAAATACGAGTTGTGAGGCCCCACGTGTCTTTCTTGTCCCAAGGAACCTGTAGTGGTGTTCCTAGTTGTCTATAGAGAAACACTGAACCTGTAGTGGTGTTACTAGTTGTCTATAGAGAAACACTGAACCTCTAGTGGTGTTCTTAGTTGTCTATAGAGAAACACTGAACCTCTAGTGGTGTTACTACAGTGAGGGAAAAAAGTATTTGATCCCCTGCTGATTTTTAACGTTTGCCCACTGACAAAGAAATGATCAGTCTATAATTTTAATGGTAGGTTTATTCGAACAGTGAGAGACAGAATAACAACAAAAAAATCCAGAAAAACGCATGTCAAAAATGTTATAAATTGATTTGCATTTTAATGAGGGAAATAAGTATTTGACCCCCTCTCAATCAGAAAGATTTCGGGTTCCCAGGTGTCTTTTATACAGGTAACGAGCTGAGATTAGGAGCACACTCTTAAAGGGAGTGCTCCTAATCTCAGCTTGTTACCTGTATAAAAGACACCTGTCCACAGAAGCAATCAATCAATTAGATTCCAAACTCTCCACCATGGCCAAGACCAAAGAGCTCTCCAAGGATGTCAGGGACAAGATTGTAGACCTACACAAGGCTGGAATGGGCTACAAGACCATCGCCAAACAGCTTGGTGAGAAGGTGACAACAGTTGGTGCGATTATTCGCAAATGGAAGAAACACAAAATAACTGTCAATCTCCCTCGGTCTGGGGCTCCATGCAAGATCTCACCTCGTGGAGTTGCAATGATCATGAGAACGGTGAGGAATCAGCCCAGAACTACACAGGAGGATCTTGTCAATGATCTCAAGGCAGCTGGGACCATAGTCACCAAGAAAACAATTGGTAACACACTACGCCGTGAAGGACTGAAATCCTGCAGCGCCCACAAGGTCCCCCTGCTCAAGAAAGCACATATACAGGTCCGTCTGAAGTTTGCCAATGAACATCTGAATGATTCAGAGGAGAACTGGGTGAAAGTGTTGTGGTCAGATGAGACCAAAATCGAGCTCTTTGGCATCAACTCAACTCGCCGTGTTTGGAGGAGGAGGAATGCTGCCTATGACCCCAAGAACACCATCCCCACCGTCAAACATGGAGGTGGAAACATTATGCTTTGGGAGTGTTTTTTTGCTAAGTGGACAGGACAACTTCACCGCATCAAAGGGACGATGGACGGGGCCATGTACCATCAAATCTTGGGTGAGAACCTCCTTCCCTCAGCCAGGGCATTGAAAATGGGTCGTGGATGGGTATTCCAGCATGACAATGACCCAAAACACACGGCCAAGACAACAAAGGAGTGGCTCAAGAAGAAGCACATTAAGGTCCTGGAGTGGCCTAGCCAGTCTCCAGACCTTAATCCCATAGGAAATCTGTGGAGGGAGCTGAAGGTTCGAGTTGCCAAACGTCAGCCTCGAAACCTTAATGACTTGGAGAAGATCTGCAAAGAGGAGTGGAACAAAATCCCTACTGAGATGTGTGCAAACCTGGTGGCCAACTACAACAAACGTCTGACCTCTGTGATTGCCAACAAGGGTTTTGCCACCAAGTACTAAGTCATGTTTTGCAGAGGGGTCAAATACTTATTTCCCTCATTAAAATGCAAATCAATTCATAACATTTTTGACATGCGTTTTTCTGGATTTTTTTGTTGTTATTCTGTCTCTCACTGTTCAAATAAACCTACCATTAAAATTATAGTCTGATCATGTCTTTGTCAGTGGGCAAACAACAAAATCACTGATCAATACTTTTTTCCCTCACTGTAGTTGTCTATAGAGAAACACTGAACCTGTAGTGGTGTTCTTAGTTGTCTATAGAGAAACACTGAACCTCTAGTGGTCTTCATGACAGACCTTTCATAGTTGAGAGCAGTGGTTCTCAGTCTGTTTGGTTAGTGTACCACCAACAGTGGCGATTTTAGCATGTAAATCTTGGTGAGGCAAACTAAAAACATATATTTTTTTGATGCATGCCAGCAAAGCCACAACACAACACACACTAAACAATACATTAATTGTACTATAACGGTGACAAACGGTGCCCACAAACTGTTAGGGCC